TTGGGAAAAAGTTGCTAAGGAATGAAAGTAATCAAGCAAACAAAAACATTGCAAGCTGAAAGTTAACCATTCTTCCCTAGAAGCATTGACCCATTAAACCATTTGCAGCAACCTAGTGACAGTGCAGAGGGAATGGCACATCACTCCCTGCAACATAACCGGGAGCAGGAGCAGGCACAGCTGAGTTAGTGGCTGTTGGGCATCCTTTCTAAGAACTTATTACATCCTCATTAAAACACTGCAGCAACACCCCCCAATGAGCTACAAACCACTGACACCAAAAGTCACACAAGTCCTTTCGATGAACAGTTATTTACCTTTGACACACTGTTGTAAACAGTATTTTAACTCTGAGTACCAAACTTTCATTAGAGAAGTTTCAATATCCGAAAAGTCTACAGAAAAGTGTTAAAGAACCATTACTGTAAAAGTGGCTTCATTCAGAAAATCCTTTCCCAATCAGTGCAATTTAATGGGGGGAAAAAAATTCAGACAGAAATTCTTCACTAGCTTGCTCCAGATCTTAGAAGCCATACTGGAGGGGATCTTGTAATCTCATAAAACATCCCACTAACAGTCTAGAGAGCCTGCTGGCAGGCAGGGTCCTGTGAAAGGAGTGTTTTCTGGTTTGCAATCTTATGAGTAGGTTGGGTAAATCACTAAGGTGAATGCACTGCATAAAAACAAGTTATTATTATGCGAGGGTGTAGCTGTCAGTATAAAAGATGGGTGAGTAAGCAACTGAGCAGCAAAGCACAAGAAGCTAGCAGCAGTGCTAAGGAGATGACAGAAACAACAGTGATACTGTATTGAAAGAGGTGAGTGACTGAAAACACAAAAACTACAACAAAATAACTTGAAATCAAAAAAACTGTTGCTTGCTTTATGTGTTTGCACAAAGATACATAGCTGATGGTAACAACTCTGTGCTGCCATAGGATGAAGGCTTTAATGATATTTTTGATCTCTTCTGCTCTCTCCGGTGTGGTTTGTTCTCTTGTAATAAGCTTCTTAATTGATGCTAAGATTTTTATGGTTGTATGTATGATTAATATATTTTCTAGAATATCTACTTCCACATATCATTCTTGCCTTACACTTACTATTATGCTATCACTTTGCTATTATGCTATCATTTGCTTTTTGGGACTGAAGATGAGTAAAAGAAAGTGGATGAAGAGAAACCCTAACTCTTGTGAGAACTATTTATGCCTGGACATTTGGAAAGAGCAGAAATAAACATCAGATAAATGACCACTATCAAGCACAACAAATTGTGAAGCATGCGGACTGGTTAAAATGCCATATAAAGAGCTAAGAATCAATTTATACTTATTTGTATACGTATTTTTGAAGACTATGTTGACTTACTGCAAGACTGGACGAAAGCAAATAGCATCGGATCCACATGAAAAAAAGATGATCCAGCAACAACACAGATGCTATTTTTTAAATCTAAATAATGAAGTAGTAATAGTACTAACAGTATATACCACACTGGTGACTGCACAGAACTAAGTGAAGCCATCAACAGTACTGACTGGATGTACCTCATCATCTCAGACAAATATCATAGGGGCTTTTTTGTTGTTGTTTGTTTAAAAAAAAAAAAAAAAAAAGAATTGCAAAATGAAGAGATAAAGAGTATTAGAGTATTCAAATGAGATGAAATCTAGCTAGGTGTTACAGAGGTATTTCCTAATGCAGCTTCTTGCAAAAACTTAACCTGAAGAAAAAAAAATTAAAAGCACCAGCGTACACCAGCTTTGAATGAAACAGAAATAAAGGAAAGTAAAGAAAGACTCACTGTTCCCAGCACCTGTCAAGATCTCCAGTGCCCTGGGTTCTCCCTGAGACGGTGAAGCTGAACACCTTTTACATCAGTTTCTACTTTATCTTTGAGTTTGAGACCACCTCTTTGGACATTCGGACAACAAACTGGGATCTGGAAGTATGACATTCATATGAAATAATGATACTACTTACACCAAAGGTATTACAACAGTACGTGGGTGTTTAAAATGAAGTATGGTATGTGGCTGCTATCAGGAGGAAGTCTCAATCACCTGTGCTCCTCACCATGGGCTGAGTAAGTTTGGAATCGCATGCAGAACAAGGTGCTACGATGGGACAAAACATTTTTGAGCAGTCTATGCAGCATATGGAGCAGATTCTGCTTATTATGGCCAAGTAGTTTTTAGTCTTCACGGAGCACTGAACTGATCTGCCAAATATTCATTAATATAATGAATGATCTATTTCTCACTGATGATGATGCTTAGACATTTATAGATTGTATAGCATTTACAGCATGCTACTGCAATCAGAGAGACAGATTACATTCCCAATATAGACACTGGCTCTTCTTGAATGTGGTTACTGCCTCCAGGAAGGTTTCAAGCTGGATTTTAGCAGTTATAAACAGAGATGTGCTGTTACAGGAATATTTTCTAGCACTCACCTTACTCTTGAATAATTCTACTGGGAAGCACATTCTTTGGATTTCTATAGAGCCAGCCAAAATGCTGTGACTGCAGTCTTAGCCAATTCATTTAAAGCTACATACAGCTGGATAAGCAAAGCTCAAGGCACACCCCTGGGACAAGCCATACAACAGCAGGTGTTAGATCTGAGAAGTTATGGAAGGAGCAGGCTGTGTGCCAAAGGAGAATCAACACTCAGGGGCTCTTAGTGGCCTAGAGAACAGGAGGATCCCACAGTACAGCAGTGAATCTTAACTGTGCACTGTGCTGTGTATGAAATCACTGCTCACACTTGAAAGGAACTGCAGGCAGCAAGAGGAGAGCCTGAAGCACTGTCCTGGGTTGTATGCAAGCAGGGCTGCAGACAGCATGCTGATAGTCAATTAAAGCATTTCTCAGATTTGTATCAACTGCGGCAAGTCACTTTAGGAAGCAAACAAAACAAAATAAACTCAGCTGGAAAGCACCAAGACTGGAATTAAAATAATGCAAATTCCACTCAGCTATATCTGCCTTCTTGCTTGTTAGGTTTGCTCTAGCACTGATTGTTTCTAGAAACTGCTTTGTAGGAAGCACCCCAGAGAGAAGTCAGCTCTTTGTAAGAAGCCCAGCCTGCAGCCACCTACAGCTCCAGAGCTCAGGGTAGCTGAAGAGCACATCTTGCCCCGACCCACTATTAAGCACTTTCCGCTTGTTACAAATGACAGACAAACAAATCCCCTTCCCTCCCACTTCCTAACAGAAAACAACAGCTTCATAGCACAAGCAATAGGCTTCCAGATCTGGCTCAGGCCCAAAGCGTCACACATCAAAAGCAGCGAGAAGTGGCAGGAGCACCGCGTTCACACACAGCAAGCTGGGGCTGAGCACCCACAGAAGCTGCAGTCCCCACATCCTCCTCACCCCACATTTCTCAGTTCATTGCAGCAATATGTGCAGCACGACCGGGGTGTCTTTGGCCACTGCAGATGAGCAGCAGATCTCAGGATGAATTTAGAGTCAGTGACGCCATTTCCGGGGAAAATTTGTTCCTCCCTTCCCTTTTCCCAACAAGATGAAGCACACAAACTGCAGCCCAGGTTAAAAGTTCAGCCTACACTGAGGGAACCTGCACTGTGATGAGAACAGACTTACCCCAAGGTAAGTCTGTAACTAACTCCTCATTGCATGAAAAGCTGAACGACAGTACTTCACATTTGGAGATGGAAAAACCACAGACCAGAGCATTTCAGCTGGAGCTCTAATGTGCTCAAGTAGAAGTGAAAAGCTTTTGAGAGGGAAAGGTTGCTCCTCTTCTTTCCCTCTTTTTTTTTTTTTCCCCTCTCTTTAAAATACAGTTTTGTCTTTCTACTATTCTCACTGTTCTCACTCAAGGCTCTTCTCCTTGACTTGGAAACAGACCAGGAAGTTAGCTCACAAAATGTTGTTTAACTTAACCACCATTTAACTTGATTAAACCTTGTTTATTTATTATTACTTTTTTTAATGTATGTGCAAAATTTATTAGGAAGCCAAAGGTTTTTAAAAGGCTAAAGGTTTAAAAATATGTATCTAATTTGGGCTGTGATATTTTGGGTATAAAAGCACAACTTAAATT